AGGTGGATGATAAGACGTCGTATTAGGAAAAGCTGGTTTAATATTACTGGTCTGTTTTGTGGAGATACTCATTGGGGTAGGTTTTGGTAGGGTTTGTTGACTATTAGGTTAGGTTTAAAACATTTATATTTGAATTAGGTCTTCGAAAAACTTGTGAGTTAGTAGGAAAACGATTTGGAACATTATTAAAATTAGGGCGAATATTAATAGGTTGAGATGGAAAAGTGGGTCTTGGCATAAGTGAATTATTAGGAGCATGATTGTTAAAATTATTAAAAGGTCTAAATTGAGACAAATTGTGATTGTTATGATTAAAATATTGAGGTTTAAATTTATTTTGTTGAGATGGTTCAATTCTTAGGTACTGGTTTAAGAAATTTTGGAAATATCTTGTATTATGTTCTTGCGTAACGAATTGTAACGCTGTTGGAAGGTCTTAGGCGCCATGCAACGGATTGTGTTGCCTAAAGGTTCTCTTAGTCCGGATAAAAAAGTTTTAAGAGCTAAATCGATATAGTTTGCGTTTGAGAGATTTTGATGTACACATAGTTTCATGAATGTCGACGTAAGAGCACAGTAAATTAAGCAAATGTAAGATTTTATCGTAAAATTGATTTGGAGTTTCGTTTGGCATTTGTCTAAGCATTACCAGATCTCGGTTCAAACATGTTTCGTCTCTTTGATCTGCAAAATGTCTATAAAGTGTTTCTTTTAAATCGTCCCAGGTAGTAACGTTATGAATATTAATAACAATTTTGGCATTACCAGTTAATTTTCCAATTAAATAGTTTAGTAAATAAATATTTCGAAAGTTAGTTGGATCACTCGGAATGTAAAAATGATCAATAAGGCTTTGACATGTTGCAAGATATCTATTTAAATCATTTGGTGTCCCATCGAAGGTTGGCACGCAATTTAAATACTCTAGTTTAAAATCGTTTTGTGAATTACTACTGCTAGTACTTTGCATGTTTATTTTTTTAGTCTACTATAGATAAAGATATAAATATTTTAGAGTCTCTTAAAGGTTTTATAGATAGCGTTTCAAAAAAAAGTGTATGATAAAATTTCACCGTAAAACAAAATTGCACTTACATTAGGGTGAAAATTACTTTGAGCATTCTTCTATAAGGTAGATTTGTCAGGTCTGCAATTTTGTCTTCGCCAACTGTAATCTGCCTTGCGAGGGTGAGGGATGCTTGCTTCACACTCCGATGAACTGTTCTTTGGGGCACGTCACTAGTTCACGATTGAATGGGCTGTTCGATTTTTGAATGTGCCACTCCAGCGACTGTCCGAAAAGTTCGATTCACCACTGATTCCCAATAAATCGTTGATACGAACTCGAACGACACGATGCGATACGATTTGGGAATCCTACCGACTGCGCCACTATTAACTTATTGAATAAAGTCACCTTTTCTTTAAAAACTACTTTTATTTTTTGAATGAATTACATTTAAGTTTTATTTAATTATATAAAATCTAAAAAATTGACATCTGTTTTAAAAACTAACTAGCTTGAAGAGCTCGTGCGACAGAGTGTAAAAATAGAATCTGTACTTGGAAAAATGCTAGTCTATTGTTGTCTATTCAGCACTTATACACACACACACACACAATATAACTCCTGTAAAACAGATGCTTTTTGCTTAATTAAATATGTTGGAAAATATTATCCAGTAGGTACAAATACACAACACTTAAACACAACAAAATAAACTAATAAAATAATAGTTTCTAATCCAAATTTCACAAATACTGTTTATGTTTCTTCGCGAAGGACGAAAAAACTGAATTTTTAATTACTCAGATATGCATTAAGGTATATTTCAATTCAAGCTTATAAATATTTATTTTTATAAGACATAACCTAAACGAAACGAAATTACAAGTCGAGAAAGATCAACAAAACTGCCGAATTTAGAAGCGAATATAACTTTTTTCCTTTTTTCTTGTCACAGTTGAAACAAACAAGGATAAAGCTATTTTCGTAAAACATGGGTGAAACGTGCTAATAAGTAGCCCAATAGATGTGACCTCGCGCCCTTCCATTTTTGAACGATGGGCGGGTTTAACGGATTCCCCTCAAAGAAAATCGTAGGGGAATACAAAAATTCAGAACGGGCAAGGCGCTACCTAGAAGACGGGCTTGTACTAAGCCCTCATTGTACATCTATTTATACATAATCAAGGATATTATGTTAAAATTAATTTTGAAGTATTGTATCACCTGTTTTTATGTAATAGTATACCCTTTTTTTTAGTTCTATGATCTGATATGTTATGATTTGTTAATGTTTGTTTAACAATGTTATACCAAAGAGGTTATACTTAATATATCAATTTGCATAGCCTAACTTTTTTATCAATAAACTTTGTAGATTTTCAGATTATTTAATTCCTTTTGTTTGACATATTATGTGATTGTTTCAGATAATATGTTTTAAAAATAAAATTGCAAATAGCGAATAAAAATAAAATAAAAAAAGTGTATTTTACAATTCCCCCCGGCCCCGCACCCCTTTGGCTAACCTGTAAATGTCAACTATGTCGAGAGATGGCGTTACGAAAATGGAACCGATTTATTACAAGGAACTTGGGCTTCTTTTTCGTTAGTATATTCTGTGCTCCAAACTGCATTCTGTGAAGCCGAGACAGTCTATGGCCGAGCCGGTGAAATGGGTATATAAATCTTCGCTCAGTTAGTGAAGCACAAGCGTTGTGCGCAAGCGTGAATTTTTAATTATCGATCGGATAACTAAACCAATCAGAGCATAAGCTGTTGGTGGATAAACAGGTGGATGACACTTCTTATGGGAGAACTGGCAATGGTTCGAAACTTGACTACAAGCGATTTTCTAGGAATCTTCCTTACCGATAAATTATTGACAAGAGTGACAGATAAAACCTTGACGTTCTTTGAGTATTACAGTTCATCTCTTTTTCTTTCTAAAGTGTACGTTGAAAGGAGACAAAAACCACACCACTTTTCTCCTTGACGGGTCGTTGACTTTGACAGCGTTGACTTGTCGCCCAATTGTCGCCATTTTATTTCTTTTGTTTACACGCTGCAGTTTGCTTTTGTTTGCTTTGCAAATTTAATACATTAATTATTTAGGCAAATATAGGTTTTTGATAAAACTTCTCGGATTAACGTGTAGGTAAAAGTGTTGATAAATAATTTTTTTTCATCTTAACATGCTCATTGTCATTCTCCTGATTTAGGTGACAGAAAAAGATCATCAAATCAAATTGAATTTTATATTTTTTCATCCCAGGACCGATAGTAAAATATATATTTTATGGATACCTTCCTAAATATCAACGAGATGAGCCATAGGAAGAAAGGGACCATAGTACAAAACAGAAAGGTGATATTTTTTCTTTCCACTTAGGATATTGAAATTATTATATACTGTAGTTGTGTTTGGCATTATGCTCTGAGAAATATAGAACAACAGATGTAAAGCATCCCAGAGGAAAAGAGAGGCAATACCTACCTGTACTCTCTCTGATATTTGTGAAAGTTACGGCAAAGTATTGTTGTAAATGTCATCTTTTTGATCGACCTGAAAACTTGAAACGAGCAAAAAGATGACACTTTCAACAATACCCTGACAGATATCAGAGACGATACAGGTTTTTCCTCTCTTTTCCCTTGGAATACTTTTAATTTATTATTCTTTGTATATCTAGATTCCTCAGAGCACTATGAACGAACTCAGCTTGTATGTTTGAAATAATCGTCCAGTTGGCTTAAAAATGATGATCGATGGCATTTCCCATATAATTTTACTTTCAAAATTATGATATATATCTTCATTTCTAAGCCATCTATGACGCCATTTTTTTCAGTTTTGTTATAATTAATTTTGTCTCTTGATCTACTTGTAACATTATTCTTTTAATTTTATTAATTTATTGTGGTGAAATTAATTTCTGTTGTATATTTGATATTGATATTAAACATATTTTTAAAAAATGGTGTATTTTTTGTGTATGTCATAATTAAAAATAAATGAAAAAATAAAAAATTTTATTTTTTTAAACTTCCCGCCATGCGTGACAATTTAGTCCGTAGTTCCTACAGGCGAAATTGGGGGCGCTAGTAGCAGTAGACTTGTCAACAGTGTCAAATTTAAACGTCAATTTCACTTTCCAATATTTAGCAAGGCGCTCGCACTTCTTGTGTATGTGTTTTGTGGGTTGGAACCTTTGGTGTTACACAGCAAAATAAAAACACTAAATCATCACAATACACCAAAACACTTTGACTTTTACACTGGACGCGCGTTTCGCTAACCATGTTAGCATCATCAGCAGATGATTATAAAACTAATGATGTGCTAATGATTCTGAAGTATGAACTTTGAAAGTATGAAGGATTTTATACAAATACAAGGTGTGGAATAAACACAGAGGAATAAGAAAGCGGAGTCGCTACTACACGTATTTCTGTAGGATAAAAACAGTCTCACTTCGTTGTTTGGGCGGGGCCAAAAGTGTACCCTTTGGACAGGACCTGATTAAGTAAAACTTCAAATAATAAAAACAAACGATGAAAATTTGCCTTGAGCTAATGTAAAATCATTGTGTAATATTAATCGTGTGTATCGCAATGAACAAATTACTTGGCATTACTACACCAAACTTAAAATAGGCATAAAATACTAATTAATGTTCCTTCGTTAATTCGGTCATTACGGACCTGCACACTGTTTATCTAACCTGTGAAATGTTACGCGGGTGAGTTTCTTCGAGTGGATACCTTTCCTGCTCCTACAACTGCGTACAGCACATAACACCATGGTTTTAAATGTTTTTGTAATAGAAAACACTCAAATTATCGATGAAAAACATTAAATTTCGAGAAAAAGGCACAAATTACAAAAAGTACCACAATCTAAGATGGCGGGCGGCTAGGTGAACCTCTTTTTGCAACAGCTGTAGCATCTCCCCTCCCTTATTCCTCCGTGGGAATAAATAAAACAAAAAGGTTTTAGTTTAATAGCTGGACCGGATAAGATCCCGCGAGCATCTTTATTCTTTTTTTGTCTCTTTGTTTCATTATTTCTTACACATATGTACCTAGTTTATATACAAATTATACACATTTAGATTTGCTAATGAAAAAAACCCTAACGCCTTCGCGCGGGATTTTACGATTTCTTCTTTTAAATATTATTTTACAGTTAAAGACCCGTATAGAGAATTATCGCATTATTTTTTTAATATTACTATTTTACTTATATTCACCACATTCTAAAGATTATAAACTTGCTCATCGCACGAAATTCGGTCGACCAGAAGCCAGACAGTTAAAAATTGAAGCGTATATTTTTTTCTGGTGGGTGGTCACCGGTATCCCCGATAAAAGCGACCGAACAACTAGGAAAAAATATTAAAACACATTTTATCGAAAATCTCAGTGACCAGTCAAAAAATCAAAAATTTACAATATAAATAAGTTAAATTTTATACACTAAGCTAGCTCAATCACATTTTTTCTTTTATAATGTACAAAAAAGAAGGGGGAAGGTCTTAAGAGTGCAGAACCCACCGACCTATCCTATATCTATAAACGGTGGCTCAAAAAATACAGGCTTTACAGATGGATTTTTGAGCCACCCTGTAAAACGCCGGGAACGGTTTTTAGACGTCTAAATATTTTTTTTGTGTACGGTATTTGCACCATTGATTCTCTTGGGGTACCACAAATCCTTTAGAAACATTATCTTAGCGACTTGTATAATTTTAACACTCAACACAATATAAAGATCTAATATGCAGAGTTAATTAATTAATTAGGCGTCTTAAAAGACTTGAGAATAGTAAATATTTAATACACACTGCAAGATATGGGTGATCTCGAGTGACTGAAAAGCTAGATATACATTGTATGAACTTACTGTTTAGATCTATATACTGTGAATATATACAAATATAATTTGCATGACATTTGTTTATAAAGTCTGTCCAGCGATAGAAACAATGATTTCAACAGATATGTAAAAATGACAGACAACTGCCACTGTCAAATATTCTCTCGTTGGACAAAACTAAAAATAAATGTTTGTTTGGAAATATAAGTACCTTTAGCTCTAGAAATAACTTAAAACAATTAAGAGAATTTCGGTTTTTGCCGAACAATTTACTTAAAATTAAACTTGTTGGATTTTTACCATTAACAGCCTTTTTTATGCATTTTCATTACTCTATTTTTAATTTCCTTCAGGATTAGAACTACTGTACAAATTACAATCTTATTTAATAGATATTACATATTACAAAAGTCGGGGCTACGTAATATTAGTAGATATTGTTGTTTAGATTTCTTCTGACACCTAATAAATTGATAATAACAAAAACAAGTGTTTCTAATAAGGTGTTTTTTTTTCTGTCATAAACTCTGAGGCTAAAGAAGTTCTATAGTAAGCGAGTAAAACCATAAATTATAAATAACTGTGTGTCCTTTCAGAGGATTTTCGATTTTTCTCTAGAGTTTAACAAAAAAATAGAGAAAAGTTAATTTAAAAGTTGATTTCTTTTGAACACATTACTACCAAGCGTATCTTTTTTTTAATCTCCAAAGCCCAATTATGTAGACTTTGTATATATTTTTTGTTGTCTAAAATTTTGCTTATATTTTTTCATATTTAGTGTTATTATTATAATAGAGTGTGACACTGACTTGAAAAAGTTAAATTTATATATAAATACGTACGTAGGCGATATATTCCAAATTTAGCTACAAAAAATGGATTTAAGTTTTACTGATATTGAAGTTCTTTTTAAAATGTTTAAGACAATCATTTTTATTTTTTTAGCTAGAATACAGGCTTTCTTAGAAATTCCCTATGTTATCAATATCTTCGAACACGCTGTATATTGATCCACTTTTTTGCGGCTAAATTCACCAATATGCTCACAAAAATTGTTCCATTTCCTATCAAACACTTCTCTATCTCTTAACAAAGCTTATCTCAAAACAACCGCGATCTCAGCTACCGGCTCTTAAATGTCTCCTCTAATCCACTTTAGCCACTCCTCTTGCTGTTAGGGGGCGGGGACTAACCTTTCTCAGCCGTCCCATTGACGGGACATCACGTCACCTCCATCACCAGGCCGCTTTTGTTGTTCCTGACGCCGCCGTTGGGTGTTTTGGGGGCGCTTCCTGTACTCCCCTGCGCCGGAGCTCCGTCTTCGACCTCGACGTCCACAGCGGCCGTCAGGGGGATCTCTAGAATATTGTTGGCACTGGAAAATATTTATTTTTAGGTCAGTTGTTCTGAGGGTGCTGAGAGTTTTTTTACCTATGACTATTAAGCGTAACAGATTGTGCTGATGTAAGCAGACTGACTGGGGGGACTCCGTATGTGTATGAGGGACGTTTGTTGTTTCTTAGCCGGTTAGAATTTGGAACTGTTTGAAAAATAAGGCGATAATTAACATATTGAAGAAACAGACTAAATATAAACATGTCAAGAAACTTGATTGACATAAAAAAAGATTGAAAAAAATACACTTTCTTTATAACTTGCCTTCGGCAGAGAACCCAATCTGCTGTATGATCCCATTTGAATTCCCCACCTCCCTGTCAAACCCCTCCCCCTCCTCTTCCACGACCTCATCCGATTTCTCTAATTCCATACATTCATCATCCCTCTCTTCCTCCAGTTCACAACAGTTTGTGACTGCCATCTCCCCGCCCGCGTCCCTCAACGTAAATGTTGATACGCCGACTGTCTTGCTACTACAGGCCCCACCACCTTCGTCATCTGTCCTGTCGTTGCTCACCTCGAACAACTGCGCGGGCGGACCCTGACTAGAAACCATGCCCTCCATCCACCGCCTATCCAATTCGAACAGTTCAGAAATAAAGGGGGTGTGGTCTAGAAGTAGCCCGCTGTCGCTTTGAGAGTCCAGGGGCCGGACCTCCACATGGAAAGGTGGCAGCTGGTCGTGAGAGAACGGCGGCGACGGGGGCGGGAGCAGGTCAACGGGCGGGGCGTAGTCGGGAGGCGGCGTTTTAGGCCGAAAGTGCAACCTAAAAAGGAAAAAAATAGTAAAATACAGATAGCTCTGTTAACAGTAGTGGTGCACAAACCCGTTATTTTTAAATAACAGTTGAAACTGTTACCGTTATTTATATTTAACAGCTTAAAATAACGGGTTTCTGTAATTCTTTGACTTAATGTTAAACATCTAAAATAACATACACATTGTCCAAATTGTAGGACAGCAACTGCTTAAGCAAGAAAGTAGCAACTGCTTATTTTCTATACGTTATTCTCCAACCTGTTTCTAGCTCAACATCGACAATCGACCGGTGCAGCAGCGTTACTTTCCCACTCCGGTTATCTCGACTGCTACGAGTTATACTCGCAACAGTCGCAAATGTTTAAAAAAAGCTGCTTATTTTATATACTGTTATTTTTAAGATGTTACTTAGTATGCCACGACCGCACATGCGGCAGTCGGCGATTTCCAAGCGCTCGTCATCGGACTTGGCCTTTCAGTCCACACATGCGGGCATCGCCGAGCTCTGATCGAAAGGGTCCATCAACAACATAAAACGAGCGCTCGTGCTCGTTGCTGATCGCGTCGCAGAACTCCAACTTTCCCGTCCACACTGATCGGAGATCGGCGAAGACCCGCTGACGAGCATACGAAAATCCCGAAATGCCGCAGTGTGCGGTCGCGGCAGTAGAGGAAAAATTATACTCACCAATCCCTCCTGAGAGCCCTGAGGAACTCCACAGCGTTGTCTTCCTTTGTCTCGTCCGCCTTGACCTTCGACAAATCGCCGCTCCCAACACCACTGTCACTACTAACGAAAGACAAGCCGTCGCGGTTACTCGCGGCCATACTGTCACTCCACTGTCCGTCCGAACCAGAAAAAATACCCGAACTCAATCTCAAAGGATCAGGCGCAGGTTCTGCATCTATAGTCACGGTCTCTTGCTTAACGACGGCTGGTACTGTCGTTGTAGGTTCGATAATGGAGAAATCTAACCTAAAAAATGATAAACAAGAGTAAACTTGCTGTTTAAATCAGTATACCATGCTAGTACCATAAGGAAGGGCTAAAAATAGGTCAAAATAAGACTTACCCTCGCCAGAAATCGTCGTAATCGGTAGACACCCTGTCTAATATAATCCTACCCCCTCTACCAACCCTTCGTCTAGCAAATCCTATACACCTTCGAGGGTTGGACAGTGAGGTTAGTGTGAACCGAAACCGTTTGTCCGCAGTGCCGTTGTCTTCAGACGAGCACCAAGGCCAATTGCCCATCGTAGGTAAGGGCTGTAAAAAACATATGTTCAGCTTAAATCATATAACTCTATATAGATTATCGCCTAACACACAATAGATCTGTAGGTCGCGGTGATTAATTCCCCTCCTAAACATCGCTGCAATGTGTTGGAGTTGAAGCCGAGTCAGAGACAACTACACTCAGATGCAAAAAAAACGCAACGGAGAAATTTTTCCTCAAATTTAAAGTGTTATATTTTTGTTATTTTTACCCCTATTTTCATGATTTTTTTAGCAAGCTGTACATAATTATATCAACTTTAATTCGTAAACTAAGTTTTTTATAAACTTTAGTATTTGGCATATTATACAGGTTTAATTGAGGGATTGTTTTTTTACCCTAACTTTAAAACACCCTGTGCAATAATTTCATGTGCAAATTTTCCTAAAATATAATTTTACGGTCAGAACCATGTCTCCTGAGCATTTTGTTTTTTGGATCATGTCAATACATGCTTTAGTTAAATTTTAAGAGCGAAATGAACTTGCCACTAACAATTTGCAATTTTTTCAATGATTATCTTCATCTTCTTCTTGAAGTAATTTTTCAATATGACAAGGCCGCTTTGGTGATTATTGTGAACTATATGCTACTATGAACTGACCATCATGTTCGACGATTGGGAAATGCTTGGCAGGAGGATTAGACGTCGCGCAGCGGTACCAGCTTCATTAAATGAACTTCGTTAGTTTCTTAAAGAAGGATGAGAAAGCATAATGCAATATGGTATATGCAGCCTCAATGACAGTGTGATCCGACGTATACAGACAATTATATCAGCCTTATACTGTTTGTATACCATATCAGTTTGTATACTTGAGTATTACAGATATTTTCTTTAATACCGTTAGTTCTGTTATCGTTATTAATGTTTATTAAAACCAAGACAGTATCGTTAGTTTTTAACATTTTTTTTAGTTTAGTAGAGTATCCAATGCAGCGTAATACGACGTTACGACAATAGTCACCAAAACCATCTCGTCATCAAATTACATCAAAAAGTAATGATAATTGAAAAAATTGCAAATTGATCGTGATCAGTTCATTTTGCTCTTAAAAATTGACCAAAACATGTATTGACATGAATCAAAAAACAAAATGCTCAGGAGTCATGGTTCTGGCCGTAAAATTATATTTTAGGAAAATTCACACACGAAATTATTGCACAGGGTGTTTTAAAGTTAAGGTAAAAAACAAATCCCCTGATTAACCCTGTATAATATGCCAAATACTAAAGTTTATAAAAAAATAGTTTACGAATTAAACTTGATATAATAATATTGTCAAGGTGTATGTGGCGCTAAACTGTATTACTGGTTGCCTACCGTTTCGCAACGTGCCTACGTGTCAAGAAAAACGGCGAATTCACCAGAAAGTGAAAAAAAAAATTACAGAATGCTATAGAAGTTTCGAGAAACCGTCAGTATAGGTATAGGGTATATAGGTCAGGGAAAGAGGTCAGGGTATATAAAGGCCCACGCTTGGCGGTTGGACAGTTTGAAGTTTGATAATACCGTGTTTTAAATTGTGAATTAATTGTCGAAGGTGCCAGTACTGTTAGAGTAATAGTAGTTGCATAAATTGTGTTGTAAAATAATATAAATTGTGTGTACAGAGTGAGAGAAAATAAATTCGTTAAGTATTTTATCGTGAGTTTAAATTAGTGGACCCACGGAATCCATAACAATTGGTGTCGGAAGTGCGATTTAAGTGGATTTTGAAGATTTTACACCGGATTTGGGAATTTTTATGGTTGGTACAAGAGAGCAAGTGAAGAAAATGGAGGAAGTAAGCAAATTATTGGGCGATTTTATGGAGAATATGAGAAGAGAGAAAGAAGAGGAACAAGACCGCCTACAGAAAATACTTATGGAAAATCAAGAAAAAATATTAGAAGGTTTAGAAGCGCGTCAAAAGAAAGAAAAACAAGAAGAACAGGACCGGCTCGTTAATTTCTTTTTGGATAATAGTTTTCTTTGGACAATAGATATTTATATTTTTTAAGGTTTGATTCTTGGGATTATGCTCCATAACAAAAATAATTTAAGTCAAAAGCATTGAATCATTGTTAACGTTTCGATCTTTATAAGATTTTTAACAAAACATAATTATGTATCCTACAAAGTGCATACATCACGAATTTTAACATAATAAATAAAAACTTTTCAAATTTTGTGAATTTCTCATAAATAAAAAAACTTACCATGTGATAGGAACAGAGTCTGTTCCTTCTGAATGCAAAGGGTCCATCATCTTGTTCGTCTTGCTCTGGGGTACCGCTTCTGCCCATACCCCCCAAAGAACCATCCTCGTCTGAAGATAGGCCATCGCCGCGGCCGCCCAAATATTTGTGCTTCCTCTTCTTGTATTGACGTTTTCCACGTGGTGGTAAAATCTGATAAAAAGAAATAATTCCTATCAAAGTGAACCCTCAAATTAGAAAGTAGGGTGAATTAGCCAGTGAACAGATAAAACGTATTTATTGGGAAATATGTTAAAAACATGACTTCAAATAATTAAAAACCCAATTATTCTACTTTGCTCTATAACATTTTCTTTGCTTAAATTGTCACCCTGAAACCCTTTAAAATGTAGGAAAGTGACCACATGTTGATGCTTCCTATTTTTTGCCTCTTAAAGATTGAGGTGAGATAGTTTGTAAGGAAAGTTAAAAAATTTGTATCTAATTTATGAAGTACTTATAAATTTAGACTGTGCTACATACACGTATCATAGTCTAAATTTTTATTTTAAAGAACAAAAAATAGGATACTTTTTAATATTTTAATGTTCAATTTACGTGTCCGATAAACTCGTATATAATTATGTTTTAAGTCCAGTAGTCGGACACGTCGGACGAGTGTCGGACTACTAAAAAAAAATCTTTTCTTTTTGCCTTTTTTTTTTGATAACCGATATGTAATATCTTTGTATATATCTACCGTCTTATCTACTTTGAGATATAACGAAACATGAGTTTTTGGTACAGTTTAGTGGTCGGACAGTAAAAACTCAATACAAACGCGGATTAAAGGAAATAAAATTTGTCCGACCACCGGTTAAATTTAATATATTTGAAAGGTCAGAGAGTAGCAAGATCTACAGACTCCTATAGGTTGCCTCAAGCAGCACCTCTCGGGCGGCGTAAACAGTTTCCATACAACGGTACAGCGGAGCCTCCCGCTGCATCACTGTAAAAAATGTAGTTTTGAAGCGCGTATTTTAATACTTTATTCCTTACCGCGATACAGCGAAGCGTTCTGTTACGGTTGATAGGAGCACGTTTGTGCCTGGTAAAAATGCCTACTAGAGTTTCCTCCAGTACTGACAAAAATATTTTTTATACATTCTTTTTGTATACATGGCCAATACGGGTGCAATTCGACAAAAATTGGGAATTGTGTTGAAGACAGCTCCGACTTTTGCCTTGGAAGATAAACTTTTTTCCTCACGTTTTTTCATTAAACAGAAAAGGATTTTGCTAAAATAGCCCTTGGCGATGATTGGCGAGAACTTCTTTGATAGTATGGCCACAGATGACATTCAAGAGAAGCAGAATGAACAAGAGAAATTGTAATCTGGCGAAAATGGAAAAATCTAATTTTTTAAAATGGAGAAATTCTCCAAACTTAGGCGATATATCCAATTCCGATAATAACCTAAATGGGGAACACTCGAGTGCAGTAGCTGGATTCTCACAGCAATTCCAGCGAATAACTATCTAATATCGCTGCTAATTGTAATTCAGTTGATATGACAAATACTGCTATAAAATTAACAAGAGAGCATTGAAATGTATAGAAATACCTGCTAATTTATTACATTTCTTTCATTCGATTCTCCCGTCTAGAAAAAGGCAAATAAGGTGTTCAACCTACTCCAATTTCTAGAAGAAAAATTCGACCTCGACTTCGTTAGGGGCAAAAAAGAGTTCAAGCAAGCAGACCTTCGAAGCACGAGTGAAATTCGCAGAAAAAAAAAGAATATATCTACAAGCAAATGTAAATAAGAATATAACAAACGCCAAACCGCATTAACAACAAAATATAAACGTAGTTGTTTAATAAACGATTTTGCGTTCTTTTTTGTTTTTGTTCTGTAGTAGGTATAGTCTATGAGAAGTCAATTGGCAAAAATAATAATTGAATTAAAATTTCAACCTGTGTTTGATAAATTCATAGAAAAATTTCAAATTTATTTCTTAGTACCTATTCTTTTAATATTTAATACTATAAGCATTAACATCCGTACATAATATACCAGTATTTCCTTACGGCTGCTTCATTTGCATTGCTTACTATGGATCAGAGGCATCCTATCTTGGTCCAGAGCCAGTACTGGGAATACCCAAATGTATGGTCCGTAGTGCACTAAAACTCTGGATCAGAGAAAAGCCGAATGTCCACTGGAGAAACAGACAAGCAAGGGCACAGGCACAGCAAGGCTTTTATCCAAGAACCTAGCTCTAAAATCGCAAAATAACTGCTTATGCTTAGCAGGAATAAAGTGCGGATTGCAACAGGCCTCTTGACGGGACACATGGCTGTCAAGTGTTACCTGAACAAGCTCAACCTGTATCAAGGAAGTCTTTGCTGCAGACTCTGCGATAAAGATCCTGAAACAGCGGAGCACATAATATATCACTTCGAGGCTCTGGATCGTAGGCCTCACAGGACGCAGTGTTTTCGGCAGAGGACGGCCCATTGTTTTTTTCATAAAAAATGGATCAGAGGCAACATCTGCCGTAGCACAGTAAAGAATATTGGTGAGGGTATCGATGAGTAACAAGTACTCGAGTAACAAGTAGTTACTTTTTCAACATCTTTATTTTACACCAATAAGCAAAAACATTTTAGAAATTTTTGTTACCTTGGAAGTCGGAAAGGATTATTTATTATATTTTCATAAGCTTTTTTGTTTAGCTCGGCTTTCATCGCCTCTTAAGGTGCGTTTAGACTTGAGCACGCACGAGCTGAGTGTGCACGCACGGCATTCGTTCGCGCTCTCGACTCCGTTTAAATTTAAAACTAATTTTTCGACGAATGAAGTGATCCACTTGTGCGCGCACAGCAGAGTTCTGTTGGCGAATATAATGGACGACCAAGAAATAGTTGTGGTTGCAGTCATTGTTATGCACAGCTTAATTATTAAAAAAAATGGCGAGCATTGTACTGACCATTTCTTTATTTATACTCGTTATTACTGCTAGCATAAACCGATAGACCTAAATTTTGAATATGTTGTAACTAAATGTATAACTAATTAAACGATAGTATCCATATCTGTCAGTTTTAAAATTTATAACAGAGATTTTTATCTCAAAGTTATAATATGCTCGGGCAATGTAAACACATCGAAAATATAAAAAATAATCCAGTTATTTAGGCTTGTCGGAAGCGCTAAAGACTCGTGAGTATTTCTATGCAAAAATCAACACGATACGATAATCATTAACGAAATGACGGCAGGTTTAAAATTATTTATTTTGTTAAATCGGCGCGCCGCTGTCTCGCTTGCCTACTGGGCTGCCCGCGGCCACGCGCTAAGGTCGTTGTGCAATCCGGACGCTCAATTGTAAATTATTTAAAGAGTTGAATTTTAACATTACTATCCAAAAAATAAGTAAATATTGTTTAGATCCTCAGTTAAAGTTATCTCATTACGTAGATTACATGTGTAGGAAATTGGGCAAAAAAATTGGGTACTTTAATAGGATATCATCTCGATTGTTTGGATGGTGTACAACTCAATAATATGTCCTCAGTTTTCATACTGTATATCTTTGTTGAGCTATTGTAATAAAGAAGATATACACTGAATACAGATATTGCAGAATAGGGCGATGAGAATATTATTGGCTTGTAACAGATATACTCCAGTTCGAGTTATGTGTTGCGAGCTTGGCTTCCTGAACGTTGACCAATTGGTCTTGGAAGCTAATTTGATGTTCATTTATAAAATTCTAAATGACTTGACACCGACATTTTTCAAGGAACAGTTGGTTAAAAGAGGGGACATGATGTCATATAATTTGAGAAAAGGAAATGAATACCATGTACCAAAGTTTAAAAGTAACTTTCTAATGAAGTCATTATTTATCAGTGGTGTGATGTCATAGAATAGCTTACCAACTAATGTAAAACGTTCCGCTAATGTAAAAGAATTTAAATATAATATAAGACTTTACGAGATTTATTTATTATTTTATCTTTAAAAAAAAAATCTTTTCTCAGTTTGGAGAAAAATTGATTTACCTGCTTTTTTCCCCCAACCCTTCAAATGTTTACCTCATCTTTTAAAGCTGATTTAGTTGCCTGCCCTGCAACTTGAGCCTGCGTAGCCACTGTATCTGCCCAACTCTGGTTTGTGTAATGATTATGAAAAATAGGCGTAAAAGCTGGCCGTTGAGGCGCGGACGCCGCTTTAAGCGCCGCAGCCTCCGCTGCCAGAGCTCCACTAAAGTCCCGCACCTGAAACCGCTTCTCAAACACTTCCACTGTAAGATGAACAAACTCCCTAAAAGAGAATTCAGAATAAAGTAATTGGCATTATCAAGGATATTTAACAAACCTCTTGCATTTTTCCCGTCTTTTCACCAGATCTAACAGAGTGACAGCCCTTACTAGGTCCCTTTTGAGTTTTAACATCTTCTCATATGAAACTTCGTCGTTTTTACGATTTTTTCTTGTTTGCATCTTTTCTGTACGTCTTCTGAAGGCCAGATAAGGGTTGTTATCTGCTAAACCTGCTCTGTGTTCAGTACGAACTGATAATATCAAGGGATGTTGCTAAAAAATAGTAATATACTTAATTCAGAAGTCTATCAATATTTTAAAAGCATTTTAATGCCTTCTGAAGCTTAAAATATTAATAAAACCACACCAATTCACTATATTTGACGTTTCAGTAACAAATACACTGTAAACTAATACATTTTTTACCATTTTAAGTCTTTTGTTCAGCCAATAATCAAAAACTGCAATTGTGAGTTCACGGTCTTCCTTTAAAAGGGCTTGTGCTTCAGTTAACTTTACTACAGTCTGTCCGCTGCTCTTTTCCAACCTATCCATCATCTCTTCAAACTTAAATATAAATACTTAGGTAAAAACTGTTTAAATAAAAGAGAAAAAATTGAATATTAAATTTCTTAAAGTATCAGAAGAATTATATTGTAAATATAAAGAAATGATATGTAGAATAATATTGTCATTTACCTTAAGGGGGCTTAAGTCAAGTCTAGGTTTTTGTGCCTGCAACCATCTCTCATCGTCAGAGTCCATGTCATAATCAGGTATATCTTGTTCCATAGTAAGTGCTAAATTTTATTATTGTTTTATAAAATATACAAAAACGAATTCCTTTGATATTGTTAGACTATTATTAAGTACATTTTAATTTTAAAATTATTGAAATTATCTGTAAATTACTTAAATATCATGATTTAATACAACATAACCTAAATATTAGTTGTCAACAATAAACAATAAACATTATTTGTAAGTGTATTATGAAGAAGAAAATAATATTAGAAAAATTAAAATTTAACAAAATATGGTAATCCAGAAAAAGCTTACGTTGCATGTGAATAAGTTGACGGGGTTGTTTGTAGTTTGATGGACAAACCATATCGTAGAAGTCCTTGAGGGGCACGTCTGTAACTTCAGGAGTGGGAATGATGAGGCCAGCGCATATGGCCCTTTGCAAGTGGTGTTCCTGTTAATGGGGAACATTGTTTTTGTGTTTATCAGACCAGATTTGGAGGGCAAAAAGTGGCGTGACAGCTCGTGTACCCTGTTCCAGACGACTCAATTTTAAATTTTGGCCAGTAAAATTGTGTTTTTTTTTGTTAAAAATCTTTATAAATCCTCCAACAGCATTTAATATTGAGCTCGCCGGTTCAGCATTCGGCGCGAATTGCGTCAATATGGCGGCCGAGCTGCCAACCATCGCCCGGAACGTCAACTTACGCATTCCTCCTCCTTCTGCATTCCGGAGGGCATCTGGGGCACAGCCCTGTTAATTGCCGAGAAATCCGGAAGGTCCGGGAGCTCCTCGGCCATGTAAATGGGCATGGGCTTGCTTGCGTCCAGGGCCCTCGCCCTGAAGGAAAGCTTGGACATATTTGTTGACGGATCGAAGCGCGCGACGAGGCCAACATAAAAACAGCTAAATGCGGGATTTTCGCCGCTCGGACCGTCCGAGTCGGGCACTAAACGACGATACGTGTTCTTTAATGCGTTCCCATCTTGATTATTTACACACACTCAGTCACAAATACAATAAAACAACTTCGAAACTTTCCATGTCGAGCGTGTAATACAATAAGCCATCATGGCGGCTCTGCCATGGAGCCATATAAATTTACGAGGAACGTGTTCTGCGCGAATGCGTCGTACGCAGGTTCCCTCAGTCTTTCATTCATTCAATATCCAAAACACGCTTCACATATTTTTTATAGAAAGTACCTCAGACTATCTTGTAAATTTTCAGATTAAAAATTGTGCAGCAATATTAAAATTAATTAATAACTGAATATATAGTATGATTATTTCTGGCAGTTTCTGGTCGAAAGACACTAGACTGACTAAACGAGTGCGTCGGCTTGTACTGTGCTGATGACAAATTTTCCCAAATTCAAAAAAATATCCATTTATTAGGACAGGCGAATCATTCTAGCACAAGAGAAACCTGATATTCTTTGACAACGACAATTCATAAAAATTTTCTGACAAACGAGGGGAAAAATAAACGTTCAATTTCGTGATAATACTCATTCATTTGACTCAGAAGACAATTCCTTTTTAAATGAAAAAAGTGGGGAGTGGGGATTGACAAGCAAAATGCCGGAAGTGACGTAATTGTACGTGTTATTTGTGGGTAGCTTAGACATGGAAAGAGAGGGGACAGGTAACACGCATATATATTCTCCAGTGAAAATTTTTTGAGGCCAAAATTTGATCGGCGGCCATACTTTGGTGACAAGATTTCCAGGTGACACCAAGCGAATTTATATGTTTTTTGTGATTATTTTGTTTAAAATTTATAAACTGTGTTGTTTAGTATGGTGAGATGTTCAGCGTATGGCTGCAAACGCCGAAGCGAGAAAAAATGGCTGGAATTACATTTCACAGGTAAATATTGATACACAACTTTTGTTATGTAGTCATAAAATGTACATTTTTTACATTATAGCAGTAAAAATATGTAAAATGCTTTTAATATGTCTTGTACCACATCCAAACCTAACTATTTTTAATAATTCCCAGTAGTATTTTCAATATCCTGTATTATAATTAATGTTTGAAACTATAAAATAATGCCAATCAGATTGGATTCCTCCAGTGGCGTAGGGAATTATAATCAGAGAAATACAATTTCTGCAATATACATTTTTATATATTTTACAAGACTACTTGTTACTATATTTTTTTAAATATCCTTTCAGAAAATTTGCTAATTTAGGTGTATAATAATAGTTTCGGTGAGTAATTAATAAAAATTTAAAAATAAATAAAATAACACAAATCTTCTAGAATTGTTTATTTTTTTGTTGAAAATTAGGGTATTCTTATGATTAGGTAACAAATATAAAAAATTACATTATTCATTGAATCCGTAAGCAAGTGTGAAGGGGATTGGCTAGATTCATTATTATACCGTATGATCGAAAAAAAAACGGCGTCCAGTTGGCTTGTAAATGACCATCGATGGCATTTCCCATATAATTTTACATATAAAATGACAGCGATCTTCATTTCATAGCCATCGCTGACGCCGTCTTCTTTCGATGTCGTTTTATATAGTTTTTATGTCATTTTATATGTAGTATTATTTGGGGAATGTCATCGATCATTTCCAAACAAACAGGACCCCGTTTTTTTCGATTGTACGTTATGTATGTACATACACGTTTAAAACATATATATTTACATTATTTTTTGGTAAAGGTGTGGATCCGGTGGCTGACCTTGAAGCCCATATTTGCTGCATTTGATCATCGATACTACGCAAGCGCACATCGTCGATGTTGCCAAATTGCAGTTTATTTTCGAATTATTTGCAGTTGAAAATTTTCTTTTGAGTGTTAATCAATAATAATAAATTCTCTAATTAATTTTATAATTTCAGATTTATCTTGATATCCAAACTTAAGGAATGATATATAAAATTGAATATATAAAATTGTAATATTAATAACATTTATTTATATATTTACATTAGAATTAAAAATTATCATTTACGGATTTTTTCTTAATGGTTTTAAACTTATTAGAATTATTTAATTTCTTTTAAATTATTTAATTTCTAGTTATTTACAGGCAACAATAGTTCTGATTATATGTATTGATGTATTGAAGTACTACCATGACGAGTCTTATAGAACAATATACGTCAATGGGAGATAGAGGTAACATTTTACCTATAATGTTACTAATATAATATACTTTGATTATAATGTTTGTATCATAATTTCTTATAAATATCAAGTTAGTGGATTAATAGTAATTTTAGACATATATTTTATCGAAGAGTGTGGTGATAAGACTAAAATAAGCTTTATGTTTTATCTTTTTCTCTTTAGAAGGGAGATGGTTTGTGTCGTAGAATACATTACAGTATTTAATACCGTGTAGTTTGATATTCTTTTCTTAATTTACTGTAATTTTTTGTTTCCTATAATGCCAAATCTTGACAATATGGTGAAGGTTGAGGATTGATCTTATTAGTTTTATACCTGTGTTTATACAAGACCAAATTAACACTTAGTTTGTGATTTATATTAAGATCTTTCTTATAATATTTGTTATGTCTTAATCTTAATGCTATATTATGCTTTGTCTGGAAAATAAATGTTAAATATCTTAATTTTGCATATCCTATTCCATCTTTCCATTAGAAAAAATATGGTTTATAGTAGTTCTCCGTAGTTTTGATGGAATGATAAAAAAAACTATTATAAACATGACATGAAGCTACAGCATTTAAAAATTAAAAAGAAAGAAAAAACTTGGACACATCCCTTTTAATTTCCCGAATTTTTAATAAAGCCATAAAGCCCTTTTTAAACGTAGCATAATAATCTACAGCAATTAGATTAATTATAGGAATCTAGAGTTTTATTTCTATTTAATTTTATTGACTATGAAAATACATAATAAGCGTTCACGTGTTGTGCGAAATATTAAAATAATAATATAAATAATACCGCGTACTATGATTGAAAAAAAATAGCGGCAGCGATGACTATGAAATGAAGATCGCTGTCATTTTATATGGGAAATGTCCTGAATCGTCATTTCCCAGCCAACTGGACGCCGTTTTTTCGATCATACGGTATATATTGTCAAAAAAACACTGAAAAGTACATATTTGTTTTCTACTGAAAATAATTCCAAAATAACTTGCAATCTGGCAACATCGAAGATATGCGCATGCGTAGTGTCTGTGACTATATGCAGCAAAAACTCGTTTCAAGGTCAGCCACCGGATCCACACCATTACCTATTTTTTATTTAATTATACATTATACACACGTTAATAAATAAATAATTGTCTTGATGAGTCAGTCCACTGTGACTGTTAAATAGATTTTGCATTATCGACTTAGATATTCTAATATTATAAAGGTGAGACTATAAAATACAAAATTGTATATGCATTACTCAAAAATAAACGATATATTAGTTTACGTTTTAATAAATATTTTGTATCGTCTAGGTACAAGGTAATTTCTGATGCTACGCCATTGGAGAATTTCGAGTGGTGACAAGTTGCCTCATTTTCAGCTGCCGTGTTACCTGTCCCCTCTCTTTCCTAGAATACATTAAAATACGCGAGGTGGCGGTATTCGTCCTACGGGGTATTTGTCCTACCCACAGGGGAACTGTTTACATTTTATGCGAATGCCAACATCCTATTGTTATTGTTTGGTATGTTGCCCAGTATTTCTCCGCTTTTGTTTATTTTTAATTTTGTATACGTATACTTTGGGGAAATCTTAAGAAAATAATAATATAATTAGCTTACTACTTTTCAAAATTTCGACATTTATAATTTTATTTAGTACTAATTTTATTTAGTACTATTAGTACTTTACTACTACTAATATTAAGATTCACTCAAGATTACAAGAAAAATAAACTTGAAATATTTGTAAATTTCGTCATTTTTCATCCGCCGTTAGGATTAATTTTTAATCTGTCAACGCCGCTCTGTTGTTATAGTATTTTCTATTGTAGGGGAATTGAACGCGGTCAACAGTGTCAATCATGTGTCAATACTGTCGATAAACAGCTGATTGGCATGATCAGCTGTTTGCCGTGCTTTTTTATTTTTCCATATTTCTTAACTATTAATAAACTATTAATGTATAATTGTTTCATTTTATATAAAAGACCAAAATTAGCATTTAAAATGGGTCTACACTGGCAAAATGTGTGAGAATAAAAGAATTTAAACATCGTCATTTCAAAAGTAAGTACTGTTCTGTGGTAATACAACATCTCGTTTTATTTTTACCTAAAAATATTTACCATATTTGTTAAAATTTGTTGGTTTGTTTTATAATATATTTTGCAATATAATATATTATGTATATTATTAGAAGTAATGTTTATATTTTTGTTACAATATTGTCCGATTTAAAATCGTATATTTGTATTTTAATTATGAATACAAATAATTTGTATGTTTAAGCATAAATTATAATTGGTATTACATTTGTAAAAATACTATTTACGTTTTCTATTACTAAGATAAATATTTTATTTAATAAAACAAGTATAGAAACAGTGTGAGAGAAAAATTAAATAGTTTCTCTGTTAGATTTATTCATAGCATAATATTAGAAAGTCGAGCAAAAGAGAACCTGAACAGCTTATTCTTTTTATAAGGAATTGAAGAAATATTTAAAAAGCTTTTTTTTTTTTTTATATATAGCCATTTATGTCGCGATTTGTGGTCTTTCAGTTGTTTCAACATCACCTAGGAAATTAACATTAAGATATCAGGATCTTGCATATAACGAGATAAGAACTATGATCTTGTTAGGATACCGTCACAATATGTAAGTACATATATATTTACAGTTTAATTTTTTAATATAAAATATTAATATATACTCATATGTATACACAGATTCAAAGTGTACAGGGTGGTGCCTTTCATACAATATGAAGGTTTCAAGGATTTTTGTTGATGGAAGTTTGTATTGAAAGAACAAATGGAGGGTTTAGAAATCAATCAAGTCATACAAATTCACTTTCATTTTCCTTGGCGCCTTTGCGTCCTATGAGAGGTGTTACCCTATATGTATATAGATTTGTATATATATATATTATATTAATATTATTTTACTGTACCACACTATAGTTGTATAAGATCTCACCATCGAAAAAAAAACAGCGTTTAGGTTGGCTTTCTTTGAAAGCAAGATTTATGTAATTTTATAAAATGTAAATTTATGTGGTGAATGTCAATGATTGTCAATTTTGCTCAAGCCAATGTATACTAATGTAGATATTTATATTCACCAACTTCATGTTTATATTTTGTTTTAGGAAGTGAAGATATTCATGGTGTGGAAGTCGTTACTTTAATTACATAGTGCATATGAAATTGGTCCTTTACATCATGTTTAAAATTGACGTATCTCTAAATTGATGTTTAAAATCTCTCAATATTTTG